ATCATGTGTACAGTTTCTGTAGATGTTGGTGATACCACTTGAATAGTAGCCTAGGTGACTTGCCGAATATTATTTTTTTTTACTTTTTATTTTTTATTTTTTAATGAGACAAATGCTCCAATCTATTCGTGGGGAGCAACACATGTTGGGAACCGGGCCCAGCATCCTATATGGAATTATACAAATGATTTGAAATACCAGGGCCGTTACCTGGCTTTGCCGAATATTAACTTATTTTTATTTTTTTATTTATTTTTCAACCCGGTCATACACATGTTGTGGTAGGCCCCAGTGAGGGCACTACTGCAAACAGTGTCTGCCTAGCTGATGAGTGGACCAGGCAGTGGTGAGGATAAATTTGTAGGAAGGAGGGTGACACGTCAAGAGTCTCTGAGGATTCCAATCGTGCACCAAGCTTTACAACTCGAGGGAGAAAGGGCCATACGAATGGAAGCAGTAGCTGAACGTTCGTAGAGGGCTAGAGAAGCGCAAGCAGCAACTGAGGAATTGCTTGTAGCGGCAAAAGCAACTGCGGCAGCTATGGCTACTTCCGCTGCTTCCTCCGGTCAGCAGAGCGTACGCATGCCTACCAGTTCACATGCCACATCCAACGGGGTGGGATCAAGCATTTCTTCTAGTCATATGGCGGGCTCGCAGTACAACTCGCCACCTCCACGCACTAGGCAGGCCATTGAACTCCAACACGTGGAGTTGATCCGCTTACAGCTACAGAAGGAACTTAGAGAAGCTACTGAAAGAGAAACGAAGATTAGAACTAGGAAGTCGTACTAGAGAATAGGAGGGAAGTCAAAGTTGTTGTAGAAGGGTTAGATGACACTGTCATTGCTGATAACACGATGATCCTCAAGGCAGATCTATTGTCCATGCACGCTTACATGGACAGCAAACTGGACGCTATCCAGGATACCAGTGACCAAATACTGAGTATCATGCAGGGGATGGGAAGGGCGTTTCCGTCTCCAACAGGCGGGCCCAGTTTCCGGCCTCTAGTTTTCCCATCACCGGTTTCCTTGCCGGTGATGACAAGTCACACTATGTCTCGGTTTAGCAGTTCACCAGGCGGTACATCAACAACAACGTCACAAACTTTTGCTTCTTCATCTTCTGGTCCAACCGCCGGTGCTAAACAACAGTCGGTCCCACCATTGGGACGACGGCAGCCTTGGTACCCGAAGACCCCTCTAAAACCACCCTCAACCTTTTTCTCAGGTGATAAGAATGATGAGGCTCTCGACACTTGGTTGAGAACAGTTCCAGTGTGGGTAAGGGCAAAGAGGACGTTGTTAGAGGAAGAGGTGACCGCTGCCGCCTCGTATCTTGAGGGTTCAGTAGAGTGATGGTTAGATGGATTAGTAGCCTCAAAAGGGTTCGACAGACGTATGAATGATTGGGCTAAGACCCATACATTAGAGAGCTTTATGGAGTTGGTAGAAACGTGATGGCACAACCCTCAGCAGGCCCAACAGGCCATTTATGCGTTGACCCGACTTGATACTAAGAAGTACAGGTCCGCGCGTGAACTTAGCTCTGTTGTGGAGCATCTCATTGTCGTCCCCGGCGTGCGCTATGATCCACAGGTCTTGATGACCATGTTCTTGAGATGTCTTCCCACAGACGTCAAGAACTTGCTGGTCAGCGAGGCCAGCATCAAATACCATACTTTGGAATCCTTTCGTAAGAAGGCCCTAGACTTAAAGGCTAAGCTAGAGGAGCCCAACAACCCTCTACAGACGGAAGGAAGAAAAGGAGTCCACAAGAGTGGAAGAAAAAAGGTAATCGATTGATGATGGTTGATTCCGAAGGCAATCAAATGGAGATCGATGGTTATTCCGACTTGGTGGACGATACAAAGTTTGAAGATGAGGATAGTGCTGAGGGTAGCAGCCTTGCTGCGCTAGTAAAGGTTAAGGCAGGTGGCAACGACAAGGGCGGTCAATAGAAGAGTCAGAAGCAGACCCAAAACTCAAACAAGACACCAGCTTGGGTGAGGGCGGGTCTGGATCAAGATGTGTGGCGAGACCGTTATTCACGAGGAGCTTGCATTAACTGCAGTGAGTATGGTCATCAGCAGTTCAGATGCAAGAACGAGAAGGTATCGCATAAGATACCTCCCAAAGGTGGTTTTGGGAATTCTTCTTCCCACAGTGAGACTCCTACGAGCTCCAATTCGGAAAACACATCGGGTCAGTAAAAGTTATAGCTGCTTCTACTCCTGATGAGGTGGGCGATGTACCTTCCCCACTTCAAGAGTTGCCCAAAGCTATTGAATCTTTAGTCACCCCGCAGACGCATCCTGACCCAACAGAATCCTGTTCGTTGGATGTGTCTGAGGCCTTAGAGGACTTACAAAATGAGTGGTCAGCAAGGGACCCTTGTGAGTCTTGGGTGGCACTAAGTAGAGGTCCTAGAGGGGAGAACTTCGTTGTGGAAGTCGGTGTAGGTGGCCGCAAGTGTGGTGCTTTTGTAGACATCCGCTACACGCGAAACTTCATAAGTCACGACTGCGCTGAGAGATTGCGCCTAGGGGACCGGGTGTAGCGCTTGGGTAGATTTGTAGCATCTACTCTAGCCAACAAAGAGCGCATGGTTGTTGATAACTACGTCAAGGATGTAGTCTGCACCTTCTATTATGGAGGTGGGGAACTTAATCATAAGATTTCGTTCCTAGTGAGCGGCGACTTGCCCTTTGACATGTTGTTAGGTATGTACTACCTCGAGGTTGCAAAGCCCCAGTTTGACTGGGACCGAAAGGTGCTTAAGCATGTACTACCGGAAGGGAGGACAGTTAGACTTGCGAAGTATAAGGCTAGCGGTCTGATAGACACTTACGGGTGTATGTGTGCATTAACATTCTATAATTATTAGAAACAGAACCAAGAGGAGGGTATGTACTTAGTTTTTGTCTCTGAGAAAGGGGAGGTCGTTAAAACACCCCAGAGATAGAAAATGTCGTCGCAAGATACCTTGATTTGTTTGAGGAGCCTTCTGGAGTCGTAGATAGGGAGGTTGTCCATGCCATAGAGACAGTTCCAGGGAGCAAGATACCCAAAGGAAGAATCTATAGTATGGCACCGACCGAGTTAGGCGAACTTCGACGACAACGGAAAGAACTCACAGAAAAGGGTTGGATACGGCCTAGCACCTCCCCCTTCGGCTCACCAGTCCTATTTGTCCCGAAGAAGGGGGGGACAATAAGGATGTGCAGTGATTATAGAGGCCTTAATGCCATCATTGTTAAGAACGCAGAACCTCTACCACGCATCGACGACCTTTTAGATAGGGTGCAGGGATGTAATTACTTTACCAAGATAGATTTAAAATCCGACTACCATCAGATTGCCACTAGACCAGAGGACCAGCACAAAACCACATTTCAGACCAAGTACGGTCTGTACGAGTTTGTGGTGATGCCCTTTGGCCTTTGCAATGGGCTGGGTACATTCCAGCACTCCACGAATACGATATTTCATGACTACTTGGATAAGTTCATCGTCGTGTACCTCGACGACATACTTATCTTTAGTAGAACTGTTGAGGAGCATTCTCAACATGTAGAAATTGTATTTTCACTCCTATGACAACACAAGTATAAGATTAACTTAGAGATATGTGAGTTCGGTCGCACTAAAATCTTGTACTTGGGTCATGAGATATCCACGAATGGGATAGGGCCCGAAGATGCTAAGGTGGCTAACATTCGTGACTGGCCACGACCTCAGTTTGTGATCGAGGTCAAATCTTTCTTAGGGATGACCGACTACTACCGGAATTTTGTAAAGAACTATAGCATTGTGGCTTCCCCTTTGACTGACATGGCTCGCCTTGACACACCATGGGAATGGACCAACGAGTGTGAAGTTGCTTTCAAGCGTTTGAAGCATGCTCTCATGCACCATGAGATTCTCATGGTTCCCGATCCGGAGAGGCCATTTGTTGTGACCACTGACGCAAGCCAATATGGCATTGGCACAATGCTGACTCAACAAGAAGAGAAGAAGTTGAGGCCGATCGAGTACATGAGTAAGAAAATGCCATCAAAGAAGTTGGTGAAATCCACCTACGAAAGGGAACTCTACGCCCTCTACAAAGCACTAGTCCATTGGAAACACTATCTGTTGGGAAGGTTCTTCTACTTGAGAACTGACCATCAGACACTCAAGTGGATCAAGACACAACCTGTCCTCTCTGATGCACTCAAACACTGGATTGAGGTCATAGACCAATATGAAGGGAGAGTACAACAAGGTTGCTGATGCACTATGACATAGGGCATACTACCTAGGTGCGCTAATTACTGAGTTTGGCTTATCTGACGATGTAACTCGGTCAACGGTGGAAGCCTACAAGGAAGACCTTGTCACGATGGACATCATACACAAACTTCAGGCCCAAGACAAAGGCCACATCTGAAGAGTTTATGATGGTGGATGCGTTACTCTTTTTTTTTTTTTGAAAAGGCAGGATTCAAGAGATTAGTCATTCCATCTACTGAGATTTTGCGTAGTTTGTTTTTAGGAAAATGTCATGACGCAACAGGACATTTTGGCTATAAACAGACTAGCGCAAATCTGGTACAACGATTCTGGTGGCCTGCTATGCTAGACGGAGCCAAGCAATATGTACAGACTTGTCAAGTCTGTCAGCAGGACAAGCCGCAAACTCAAGCTCTGCTGGGTTACTCCAAGCCCTTGCCCATTCCTGGGACAGAGTGTCTCCATGGACTTCATGGATACCCTCGTGACCAGCAAGAGTGGCAAGAGGCATATCTTCGTCATAGTTGATAGGTTTTCAAAGTACGCTGGACTGATTGCCATGCTAGAGACTGCAAGGACTGAACACGTCAAAAGACTATCGTTAGTGACAGAGATGTCCGTTTTACCAGTGAAATGTGGAAGAAGGTTGCAGAACAGATGGGCAGCCAACTCCAAATGACTTATGGGAATCATCCCGAAGTCAACGGGCAAGCTGAACAGATGAACCGAGTGGTGCAGCATTTGTTGAGGCATACATTAAGCCCAACCAAGATGACTGGGATGAGAAGTTACCTCTCATCGCCAGCCTGTACAACAATGTTGTGCACAGCACCACCGACGTCAGTCCGAATCAGCTGCATCTAGGTTGGAAGCCTAGGTCTGCTCTAGACTTCCTCCTGCCTGAAAACCGATCTGCTGCAACTCCTGGAACCATAGAATTTGGTGTCCAGCATGAGAAGTTATTGCAGCAAGTTGGCGAACACATCAAGTAATCTCAAGAAGCAATGATTGCTTCTCAGAACAAACATCGACGAACGTCCACATTTCAGGTAGGGGAACGTGGCTGGGTTAAGTCTAGTGAGCTAGGACAGGAATTCGGCATCTCTAGGAAACTAATGCCTCAATACTTGGGTCCTCGGGAA